AAAAAAAAAAAAAGGAAAGAAAAGAGAAAAAAAAAAACCCGAACCCACCCTTTTTTCCGTGGAAATAACGTTTCCTGGCGGGCAGGAACCATGTTAGCGCCGTCAAGGGAAATGAACTTTGCCCACCGTTTTCTTGGTTTTGCAGGTGCTATTTCTGCTTTTTTATTTTATTTATTTTATTTTTTCTTTTGCGTCCCCTGAGTGCTGTTGAATGGAAGAGAAAGGCCCCAAACCGCTCTGTGTGTCTAGCGGGGGGATCTAATGTGGAAAAACGCAGACTCGTGGTTATTTTTGGCCCTGCAAGTTGCTGTCGAGGGAGGGGATCTCACCCCGGTGTGTTCCGAGGTGGATGTCAAATCTTCATGTTTACCAGTGAAAATAAAAGCGTAAAACTTGACTAAAAATTAACCAGGCCGTCTTTGCATGTCACGCTCAGCCTGCAGGGTGAAGGAGCTGCGAGTCCTCGGAGTGGCAAAGCGGGCTCTTCACGTCCAGTTCCTCATCAGGAGCCCGTGGCCCTTTTTTTGTTAATGCTGTTGGAGGTAGAACATCCTGGGAGGTTTGGAGCTGAGGGTCGTGTTTAATGTGAAGGAATAATTCTGTGGCAGAGACCCGGTGATCCTGAAATCCGATATGCGTGCATGGAATTGTGCACAAAATCCGTTCTAGCAGGAATGGTTTTCTCCTTGCGGTGAGGTGTGGAAGGTGTCGGCTTCCATGACAAAAGCCTGTCCTTAAGGTCCCTGTATTCCACCTTATCCTTTGCTTGCTTGCACTCCATGCAGCGCCCTGCCCAGGTTCACTTTGCTTGGTGTCTTGGTGATGGCTTTTTTTTAAAAATCTATCTAACAAACTGTCCGCAAAATCCTGTGTGAAAAACAGGATCAAAATCATYTTGGAAAGACTCCTTTTGGGTGATGAGCCTGGGTATGAAACGAGCCGTTATCCCCATTTAGGGAATGGTAGATTAAGCACATAGACTGCACCAGGGCACCTTCACAGTGGTGCCTGCCGGTGTTGCCCRTGGGGAATGTGTGATGTTCGTCTGGACACCAGCAGGCTCTTGTGCTGTCCTTGCAAATTCGGGCTGAAAAGTATTGCCTGGCTTATGGGGCACGTTTTCCTTGCCTCAGCTGCATCTTTCCTTAACCATTTATCCAATTTACCACTGACAAATCGTGTAGAAACCGTGTTTACGCTTCCTCTGCCACCTTCACCGGATAGAAATTCGTTCTTGAAAATAATTAAATATTAAAATAATGCTCTGAACCACAAAAGAAAAGAAAGATAGAAATTCGTTCTTGAAAATAATTAAATATTAAAATAATGCTCTGAACCACAAAAGAAAAGAAAGATAGAAATTCGTTCTTGAAAATAATTAAATATTAAAATAATGCTCTGAACCACAAAAGAAAAAGGTGAAGAAATGTGGGTTTTGCTCTGTGGCCACTGCAGAGGCTGTGGCCACTGCAGCGTGGGGCATGAGCTAAAGAGCGAGCTGGGGTGATGTGGCTGGGTTAAATGCAAAACAAGGAAGTTGCTCTAACAGCTCTGTGCGTGTGCAAGGCTATTTACACTTGACACCCGCTGCTAGTGGCTAAGTGTTTAAAGTACTAATAAGAAGCACCAAATTATGTGTTATCTATTAGCTGTACCAATGAGTGAGAAACTGAGTTTTTTTCATTAC